AATGCCATGGTTGCCTATCCCCGCACTAAGTGTTATGCAAGACTGCTTTAGGATTTTGTGATGGCATGTATGACTGACATTTAACATAAATCAACTCTGTCGCTGAAGGTGCAAGTAAATATAGTTTTAGTCTTTTGCAGGGTGTTTTTATTAAATCGCTGACCAAATTGTCTTCAAAGAAGAACTCTGGGGAAAAATGATTCTCAACTCTTGAACTGGGGGTACCCCCGCACTGCAAGGGTTAAGTGCTAGTTTTTGTGTAGGGTGTAAAATTTAAAAAAAGTTTGTACTGACCTGATCCTCGGAGCCCACTGGCTCTTAGACTGGTTGTTCATCCTCTCTCACCCTCCACTCCAGCAGTCTAAGGATCTCCACAGTGTATAAAATGTGAGGACACCGAGGCATATGCCATTGCTGGAGCGGAGTGGGAGACTGGCTGTAGAGGAGCGCTGTAACAACCAGCCTGCTCAGAGGATTTGGGGTGTATAACTTTATTTTACACCCTATATGAAAATGAGCCTTAACCATTGCAGTGCACGTGTAGCCCTAATTCAAGGGTTAAGAATAATTTTAATCATGGTATGTTCTTGGAAATGTGTGCAGGCTTCATTTTGGAATAAATCCTTTTTGGTTTTGTCTTTAGATTGTGGAAGGGATGAAGCAACATAAGTGGAGCGTTGAGAATGTATCATTTGGATCTGGAGGGGCCCTGCTGCAGAAACTGACCAGGGACCTGTTGAACTGCTCGTTCAAATGTAGCTATGTGGTGACAAATGGCCTTGGGGTATGTGTACAGGATTATAGCACTTTAACGTTTTAACCCATATTACATCTCGTTTTTCGGCCTTTCTTACTATTGCATATTTTAAATTGGGTGCAAACTTTTTCTTGCAGGTAAATGTGTTTAAGGATCCTGTGGCTGATCCAAACAAAAGATCAAAGAAAGGACGGTTATCACTTCACAAAACAAGTGCAAATTCATTTGTGACCCTCGAAGAAGGGAAGGGAGATCTAGAGGACTATGGCCCAGTGAGTAGATTACAAATCTTGAGCCTGTTAAGATTAGCGTTAAGATGTGGCTTGTTCTATTCAGTAAAAGGGTAGTTTTAAAAAAAACTGGAGCAGACAGAATCTGGAGCAGTTGCCCATGGCAACCAATCGGCTTCTAGCTTTCTTTTTTAAAGCTTAACTGAACCAACTGTATAGAGGCTGATTGGATACAATGGGAAACTGCTTCAGATTTTGTCTGCTCCAGTTTTGATAAATTGCCTCCTAAGAATCCTTGATGTACTTCTGCATTAATATTCAGTTTGGACTATACACTATACAATCTGATGGAATGCTGTTTAAATTCCTAAATAAAAACAGAATGCAATGAATTCCAAATCTCAAACCCGTATTTTTCTTACATTCATTGAAGGACACAGCAGAATGCTTCAGATCTTGACCATTGGGTTATAGCCACCTTCAGAAGTAGGACACTAGGCAGAAAAAAACAAAAGCACAGCCTAACCAAACCATCTGCTGGAAGTAGCTCAGTTATTTGACTATTGTCAAGGAGTCCAGCTACCTAATCCATCCAATCAATCTGCATCCAACCAGGCAGGTCTTCGCACTACATACTTATTGGTAGATCTAAAGCTGCCCATACACCTTACACCCATCGCACGACTTTCGTTGTGCAATGGTTGTAAGGTGATTAAAATTTCGTATGATCTGCCCATCTTGGACAGGCAAGATCGTACCTGCGATCATCGCAAGCCCCCCCCCCCCCCCCCCCCCACCA